GAAGTGAAGATGAAAGTAGTAGAGGCTATTGATCCCGTAAAATTAAAAATAAGGATCAGAAATGTTAGGAAAATAAATAATGGAGGAATAGTTATTGAGTGCCTAAATAATGAAGAAATTGATAAATTAGAAGAAGAAATTAAAATAAATGAATTGTTAAAGGAGGATGTCGAAGTTAGAGCTCCTATCAAGAAAAATCTGAAAATCATATTATACAATATCGATATGGAAGTTGGAAAAGAATTACAGGAAGCTGTGACTAAGCAAAATCCTGTATTTGAAGATGGTGGTTTTATTCCACTATTTAGAATAAAAGGAAAGAACAATAAGGTACATTGGGTGGCAGAAACCCAACCTAATAAATTCAAAAATGTTCTTAATCAAGGAAAAATTAATTTTAATTGGTACTGTATAAATGTAAAAGAATATTTAAACGTAGTGAGATGTTACAAATGTCAAGAATTTGGTCACTTTCATAAAAGATGTAATAAAGAATTAATATGTGCTAATTGTGCACAAAAAGGACACAATCATTGGGATTGCAAAAATAGTTCAATATGTATAAATTGTACCAATGCAAATAATAAGTATAAAATGGGGTTAGACGTGCGGCATTCCAGCTTGGATAAAAATTGTTCATGTTTGAAAAGGCAATATGATCTATTAATCAGAAGGACAAATTATGGTTAATAGTTCTTCTTTGAAATTTAGAGGAGTTCAAATTAATCTTCACCATGCTCGTGCCGCTGTGTCTCAACTCCAACAAAGAACTCTTGAACAAAATTATTCATTTGCTATTGTACAAGAGCCTTATCATATTAATAATAAGGTTAAAGGCTTTTCATCTCAATATAGACAATATTTTGCAGATAATGATATTCCACTAGCAGGAATAGTTATATTTGATAAAACAGTTTCGGTGATTGAGATTTTGATTTCCAATGTTTTGGTTGTTTTGAAAATTAATTTTGGAAATCAAGATTTGTTGTTGATTTCAGCTTATTGTTCTCCTAAAGCGGATTTGACTCTTTGTTTGTATGAAATTTCAAGAATTTTGAATAAAGATCTATGTAACGAATTTGTTATTGGTGAAGATTTTAATGCTAAGAGTGATGTCTGGGGAGATCAAGAGGAAGATATTAGAGGAAAACAAGTATTGGAATTTATAAATGCATATGGAATTTGTATTTTAAATAATCCTGATTCTTCTCCTACTTTTGAAGGAGCAAGAGGTTCCTCTTGGATTGATCTTACTCTTGCGAATTCTTCCTTAAATATCGATTGGAAAGTCATTACAGATATTTCTTGTAGTGATCATAATTATATAGAAATTGACTTCGGTGATCAGGATTTTTCTCCTTTGATGAGAAAGAGATTTTCATTAGAAAATTTGAATTGGATTGATTTTAAAAGAGACGTTTTTACTCTTTTATCGCATTATAATAAAATGAAAATTGATGAAAATAATTTGGAAATAATTGTTGAAAGGTTTACTGATGAAGTCGTAAATATTTGTGAAAAGAATAGAATAAAAAAGAAATTTAAAACAAAAGGATCTTCTGTTTGGTGGAATAAAAAATTGGATATTTTGAGGTCTAAAGTTAGAATTGCAAGAAGAAAATTTCTTAATGCTTTTAATTTGGAAGATAAAAGATTTTTAGAGGATAATTATAAAAAAGTAAGAGGAATTTATAAGAAAGAAATTAATATTGCTAAGAATCAATCGTGGGATGAACTATGTAAGAAAACTAATTTAGATCAACCTTATGGTATCCTTTATAAAATTACTATGGGAAAGTGTAAATCTGCACTTACTTTGAGCCGATTAAAAAAGGATGTTGGTTCGGAAACAAATTCAATAAAAGATACATTGGATTATATGGTTAAGTTCCATTTTCCAGACGATATGACTGAAGATGATTTAGAATGGCATAAAGAAATAAGGCAGAATATTCAAAATTATGAAAATGAATTTAATGACTTAAAATTTACAGAAGAAGAAATAATGAATGTAGTAAGGTCTATGAATAAAGGAAAAGCTCCAGGTTATGATGGTCTATGTTTGGATATTATTGAAGAAATTATAGATACTGATCCTTGTTTTATTTGTAAAATTTATAATAATTGTTTGAAATTTGGTATATTTCCTAGGATTTGGAAAAATGCTTCTTTGGTTTTATTTACCAAAGAGGGAAAAGAAAAAATGGATCCCTCTTCATATAGACCTATATGCTTATTACCAGTATTTGGAAAAATTTTAGATAAATTAATGACGAATAGACTTTACTTTTACTTGAATAAAAATAAACTACTGAATCGATCTCAATATGGATTTGTAGCAGGTAAAAGTACTACCTTGGCTATTTGTGATTTATTGGATAAAATAAAAGAAAATAAAAGATTGAAACTACATACTGCACTTGTTACATTAGATGTTAAGAGTGCTTTTAATAGTGTTTGGTGGCCTTTTATTTTGTTCCAATTAAAGAAGTTTAAATGTCCTTATAATTTATTTAAGTTATTTGAAAATTATCTTTGTGATCGTTTTGTTTCTTTTCAAGATGGTATTATATGTTCTAAGAGAAATTATGGTAGAGGTTGTCCTCAAGGTTCTAATTCTGGTCCACTTTTGTGGAACATAGCATGTGATTCAATGCTTGTTTTACCTTTCAAGGAAAATGTGAAAGTGCAAGCTTATGCGGACGATATAATTATTATTGTTTCTGCGAGTGGAAGGCACACTATTGATGCTGATATTGATCAAACATTGGATCTGATTAGTAATTGGTCAAAACAAGTTAAATTAAAATTTGATTATAAAAAATGTGCTATTATGGGAATAGCTAAATGAGGAAGAATGACTACTCTCCCGAGAGGACATATTGATGGTTTTTCTTTAAAGAGCGTTAGAGAATTAAAATATCTTGGTATTATAATTGATGATCAACTTACATTTATTCCTCATTTGAAAAAGATTAAGTTACAGTGTTCTATAATTTTAAATAAATTATATGCAATAAAAGGTCTTAATAGTAACATAAAGAAAATCTATTATAAGAGAGGAATTGAAAGAAAAATTTTATATTCATGCACTGCATGGTATAGAAATAATACTAGAATTAACAATATGTTAATTCAAATTCAAAGACTTGCCATGCTAAGTATCACTAAGTCTTTTAGGACAGTTTCCAATGCTAGTTTATTTATTTTAAGTGGATGTGAGCCAATCTTTTTGATTGCTCAAAGAGACAGTATTTTATTTCATTTAAAACATGGCAGAAGTCATGGTCAAAATTTTGATTTACAAGCAGATGCTTCTTATATTGAGATTGGTGGATTAATTAATGATGTTCATCCTGCCTTATTAACTGATTATTTTTGGGACAAGAAGATTCCAACTCGTGAAGGTCACGAGATTTTTACAGATGGTTCAAAGATTGGTGGCAAAGTTGGTTGTTCTTTTGTTGCGTATTCAAATGGAGAGATTGGATGTATTAAAAAAGTTTAGATTGAGCGATAATTCTACTGTTTTTCAGGCAGAAGTTTTTGCCATTTTCAAATCCTTGGAGTGGATATTATATAAAGATATTAAAAATGATGTTAATATATATTCGGATAGCCAAAGTGCTTTATTGGCCATAGTTTCTGGTAAATCTGTTACCAAATTGGTGTATGATACCCATTTTCTTTTGATAGAAAATTTAAAGGAAAGAAAAATTAATCTTCATTGGCTTAAAGGACATATAAGGCATGAAGGAAATGAATTTACTGACATTTGTGCTAAAAAAGCTACATTAAAGAATACAATTGATATATCTTTACCTTCTTCAATAGATATTTTTAAAAATGTTTTAGAGACGAATATAATTAATTTATGGCAAGACTTTTGGAATAGAGATTCAAAGGGTAGATATACTTATAAATTTTTTAAGAAAGTCAATAAAAAGAGGTGCATTGGTAATGGGTTTATGGCCCAATTTCTAACTAACCATGCACATGTTCCGAAATATTACAGTAGATTTCATATTAAGTTTATGAAATGTATATGTGGAGAATATGAAGCTGATGTAGAACATGTTATTTTATGTGAATTATTAAGAAATAGATGGCTTAAGTTTTTACCATGTTTAAAAGATGAAAAAGATATTGTAAAAATTTTTCATATAGAAAAATTTAAAAAGGGAATTATAGAAATAATGAAATTTATAACAGAATTTGAAAATGTAATTTTTGAACAAGTACTGTAATTTATAATTTATAATTGTTAAACATAATCAAAATATGAGCAAATAATCATTTGTAAATTATTTTAAAATTCAAGATGAATTGTTGTTTGTAATTGCTTTATATTTGTTTGAACATGTTTGAAAATGTAATTTTTGAACAATCACTGTAATTTATAAACTATAATTGTTAAATATAATCAAAAAATGATCAAATAATCTTTTGTAAATTATCTTATTGTAAATATCTTATTTTATCAAATTCAAGATGAATTGTTGTTTGTAATTGTTTTATATTTGTTTAAACATGTAAGCAAACGATTGTAAAAGATTTGATTTTTTGTTTTGTATATGTTTTATTTAAATAAAGGTATTTGCTGGCGAGGTCGGCAAATCTTCCAACAGAGTTCGAGTACGGTAGGGTTGTTTTATAAAGTTGAAAGGTTCCAATAAGCCTTGCTTTTGCCGTAAGGTAGCAGGTTTAATTATTGGTCTTACCTGATGTTTTTATTTCCTTTTCCCATTAGTTCTGTATATTAGTCCGATTTTTTTCAGGGTTCCAAATTTACAAAAAATAAATAAATCTTGCACATTTTGTTGTGTTTAACATAAAAGGATAGAAATTACAATATACATTTTTTATACACAAAAATTAAATAAATCTTACACATTTTACTATTTGTTACATGGAAATTACGGTACACAGTTTCACATTTCATTAGAACAGAACACTGTCAATGGCCTACACAAATTATACAAAACATTATAAAAACTTACCAATTTGGCCAAGGAATTCCACTTTTATACCTTGGTGCTCTAATTTAGTTCCTGGTTTCTTTAATGTTATATTGATCTAAAAGACAATATTTACACTTTTTAAGACCTAACACTAGCAGAGTTCTTTAAATACATGAAATTTAAAATGGCTTATGAATAAGTTACACAGCACTTCATCTATGCATTTTATACTCTTGACTAAATATTTATATGATTTCTGAAAAATGCACTTTTTTTAAACTCAACTTTTTTTTTTGATAACCCCTTCAGTAACCTTTTTGGGGTAATGCTGTATCTGGAGATCTACTGAATTTCATTAGTTAATTAGTTTTTGTAAATTTAATAAAATTAAATTAATTAAAATAATAATTATTAATAATAATTTAATAATAAATTTTATTTCCTTTCCATTTTACAAAACAAAAGATTCTTTTTTCAGTCTTTCAGGCTATATTACAAATATCATGCAGCATACCCACAAAAGTCATCACTTTTGTTAGGAGATCACTATGCTCCAGCAAGATAACATGGTAGCACTTCTGGCATCGTACCTCACATGTTGTGGAGAATTTTTAGCTTCAAAATATCCCAAAAACATTCGACAGTTTGAGTACTGGCACTGTTTGTAAGATTTACAAAATCTTTCTAATGGTTGACAGTCCTATGATCATAACCTAATCTGGCCAGCTCCTTACAGGCAGGCCATTCTTAATTCATAATGATTGACCCCGGTATAAATTCGTGCTGGATGACTGGAAGTAATGTTGGAGGATCTCTTCATTCCATGATGAAGAAGAGTTTTTGTTTGACATGTCAAACCAAGTACCAATGGTACTTACTGTTTACCGTGCTTTATTTGGTTGATTATGTTTTCTATGTCAAAATCACTTAACAACAACTCTTCACCGCATTCATTACCAAGAAGCAAGCATTTTTTTTTTCTTCTTTCCTCATAGAAGCGACTCGCCGATTTTGGCCATGTGCTCAGGACTGCCAAACAGTTGTCACTTCTGGAACATTTCTACGCAGACATCCCGATAATGATCAAACCAGCCGCACACAGCATTCTTTGCTTTGCCTGTAAATGTCCGAGTGGTCACTTGGGAATTGTAACTCCAGTATTACACAAGTTCACAATCTCTGATAAAGATAGTTTGCTGTTGCAAAGACTATTTATTCACATCTTCAAACGTAAAAGAGGCATTTGGTTTTTTGACTGATTGAAACGTTAGGCACCTTTTGTGGGAACATCTCAGGCATTCCTCTCCCCCTTTTTTTTTTGTGACTTCACAAGTTTCCTCACAACACTTTAGCCAAGAAGGAACGCTATTCTGCAATTGGAGTAACCGATTTTGATGAAGAAATTGAATCAGTGATTCATCAGTGGTGGCTATCGCTCAATAAATTCACTAGCTTTCATTTTTCAGCGTGCGATGAAAAACGAGAAAAAGTTGAGGTAGCTGTGTATAGTTGCTCATGTGCTTCTCGCTATCTCGCTACCTCATTGGCTGACAACACATCAAACGGTGCAATGAAATGATGGGGAAAATAACTTGCATCATCTGTTATAAAACTATTGGGTTGGCAACTAAGTAATTACTCATAGATGGCTTCAGTTGAATTTTTAGGGTTGCAGACGTAGTACAAATGTAAAACACATTTTGCTATTTGATAGTTGGCAATTCAGCTGTCAATCAGTAAAAAAAGATTTTTTGATCGGTTGCGAGTTTTCGTTTGGCGTTCGTTAAAAAATGGAAAATCAAAAGGAACATTTTTGTCATATTTTGCTTTTTATTTCCGCAAAGAGAAAAACGCATCGCAAGCTCATAAAAAGTTATGTGCTGTTTATGGTGACAAAGCCTTAAAAGAACGGCAGTGTCAAAATTGGTTTGCCAAATTTCGTTCTGGTGATTTTTCACTCAAAGATGAAAAACACTCTGCTCGTCCAGTTGAAGTTGATGATGACCTAATCAAAGCAATAATTGATTCGGATCATCACAGTACAACACGTGAGATTGCATAGAAGCTTCATGTATGATATACATGCATTGAAAATCACTTAAAACAACCTAGCTATGTTCAAAAACTCAATACATGGGTTCCTCACGAACTGAAAGGAAACGCATTAACAGCTGCGATTTGCTAAAGAAACGTAATGAAAATTATCCATTTTTAAAATGACTGATAACTGGCGATGAAAGATGGGTTGTTTACAACAATATCAAGCGGAAAAGATAGTGGAGCAGGCCAGGTAAACCAATTCAACAACATCAAAAGCCCATATTCATCAAAAGAAGGTTTTGTTATCAGTTTGGTGGGATTACAAAGGAACTGTCTACTTTGAACTCTTACCACCCAATCGAACGATCAATTCTGATGTCTACATTGAACAACTAACGAAATTAAACAATGCAGTTGAAGAAAAGCGGCCCGAATTGACAAATCGAATAGGTGTTGTATTCCATCATGACAATGCAAGGCCCCACACACAACTTTGGTCACTCGGCAAAAATTATTGGAGCTTGGTTGGGATGTTTTGCCACATCCACCATATAATCCTGACCTTGCACCATCTGATTACTTTTTGTTTCAATCTTTACAAAACTCCTTGAATGGTAAAAATTTCAATAATGATGATGATGTCAAATCGTATCTGATTCAGTTTTTTGCTAATAAAAACCAGAAGTTTTATGAACGTGGAATTATGATGCTGCCTGAAAGATGGCAATAGGTCATTGATCAAAATGGGCAATACATTACAGAATAAAGTTATTTAGTTCCATGAAAAAATTGTCTTTGATTTTCTAAAAAAAATCCGCAATTACTTAGTTGCCAACCCAATAATTACCTAACCAATAAAATTTAATAAAACTGCTTTCTATCAGAAACAATCCTAGTATGAAATAATTTTACAATAATTTTTTCCCCCTCTTTCACAAACAACCACAAATGCAAATTTTATGGTGCAGTACTCCAAACTTGTCAGAAGGTTCATCAAACAGAAAGCCAAAGACTTTAGTAAACCATAAAATTAACTTTATTTAAAATTGAAAGGTAAAGCACAAAACTAAATAGATGATGATAAGCCGATGAACAAGCAGAACACTAAAGTAGAAGTGCAAAGTGAGACTCTCAGCAAAGATTTTATACTCGGGCTATTACAATTGTGCACGGGTACAGCGCAACAAACATGGATACTGCATGCAAATGTCAAAAATGCACCACAGTGTTTATTTTTTAATTTTTTTACTTTTGGTGCTTTGTATTTGACAAAAATAACTTGCTAAGAAAATATGAGCTGGGATAACCAATGTGTACTAAAAAGAGGGAGTGAATAAGTTATGTAAGTAATGTATTATTATTTAAAACACAGTTTCAATTTATAATGGTAGAAATTCAAAAGATCATTTACTGCTCCTACAAAATATAGACTGTGCCCATCAGTCATCCTAAATATATACTTTTTCAACAAAAACAATTCATGCTATGGCATTTTTTAAATTTTAAAAATCGATTTCTATTCAAAAGTATGAAAGCTATTTTTTGTGCAATCCTCCAGTGTGTTCAGTTATATCAGTTAAAGTTTATATGCATTCTAATGAACACAGAAATTTGAATCCTGTATAACAAAAACTGACTGAATTTCAAAGTTTAGGTGTTTTTTAGATTTCCACTGCTACTTTCTGGCTTTCCTTTAGGAATTGGTTAAAAAATAAATTACAACTTGAAGCAAACACTTTTATTACTTTAGTGTCATTGTGAACAGAACTGAAATGTTCCACAAACAAAAACGAGGGGCAGGTGAGATACCCTGATGGCACTTTGTTAGTTTCCATTCAGATGCAGAATAAACTTCAGATAGAAAAAAAAAAAATGAGTAAGACTGAGAATTGTCAAACCTTAACCACATAGTGACACCTGTGCTTTGTATACATATGCAGTTAGGCATTATATGTTAATCACAGATACCAATTAATGAAGTATAAAATGCCATCAGACTTATATAGTTTATTGATGAAGCATGTTTGTCACTTAATTCAGAAGCCCGAAGAAATAAGATCAACAGCCAGAACATTGAATAAACAGATAAGCAATTTTGAATTATTATATTTGAATCTCCCCGACTGTGAATTAAGAATTATATAGCTTTCGTGATTAGACGTAGTTCGGGTCATAATAAACTGGTTATCAGAACTCAAGACTTCGCAAAGAAAATATGTTCCAATTTGAGATTTTAATACATTTGAATTGTTGTCATATTTGTACTGAATCAATTTAGATAATAATAACAGAGTTTAGGAAATAGAATTACATTAGTTGTTATCATGGATGAAAATACTAAGAATGCTTTAGATACAGCTGAAGCAAAAAGTGAAACAATAAGATCACCGACATAAATAATTAAAAGAATATTTTATTAATTAGAACAAGACACCATAGGCAGAAAAACACAATAAGAATATGGGATAAATCTACAAAAGAAAGCAGGAGAGATTTCAGTTAGATCTGGAAATTCAAGATTAATTCCTGGATCTCTAAGTTAAAGTTAAAAATAATTAGGCAACACAGTTGTGTAAAATTGAAAATTAAGAAATATCTTCAGAATACACATAGGAATAAAGCAAATTTATCAGTGAAAGTAATTCATTATTTTTAGCACTGGCCAGAGAAACCCAAAATTACACGCAGAACCATTTAAGGACAATTTCAAAAGAAGGAAATTCTGGGCACAATTTAAGAATGCAATTCATAACAATGAACATTTATCTACAGCAGATAAAAATAATTATCCTAAGGCTTTTTTAAAATAATCAGCCTTAATTAGCATAAAAAGATTACCGACATCAGAAGATAATTATAATCTTGCTGTGGAACTTCTTAAAAAAAAGATATGGGAAAAAAGAAATTGTTGCAAGATCTCGTATTAACCACTTTTAAATGCTTAAAGTGGAATCTCGTTTGAAACAATTACAAGAACTATAAATGATGTAACAGAAACATAAATACGTACACTGCAAACTCTTGGTGTTGAATTTACTGCATATGGAAGTTTGCTTTTCCCATTACTTACAAAAC